CCCGGGGGGGCCCCCGGGGGCCCCCCCGGGGGGGCCCCCCGGGGGGCCCCCCGGGAGGGGCCCCATGGGGGCGTGGGGGGCCCCCCGGGGTTTGCTGCGAGGAGGGTCCGTCGCTTGAAGAGCTGCTGGGGGGTGTTCGTCGTTTGAGTTTGCTGCTGCAGCAGCAGCAGCAATTTGCTGCTGCTGCTGCGCTGCTGGCAAATGTGGGGCTGCGCAGCGAAGCTTTTGAAAGTTTAATTATTTCCAAAGACATAGCAGCAATTGTGCAGTTCGCAGGTCAGGCCCCACACAACTCTCAGCAGCAGCAGCAGCAGCAGCAGCAGCCGTATCAATAAATTTAAAAGGAATTTAAACAAACAAAAAATAAATTAATTAATTGATTAATTAAATAAAAAGGGGACTTGTTTGGCTGCAGGTTTGGCTCGGCAGCAGCAAATTTATGAAAAGGCAGCAAACTTTTTGTTTTCATATTTGACGGAGGAGAAATCCGTCACTTTTGCTGCTGCTGCTGCACCAGCAGCAGCAGCAGAAGCAGCAGCAGCAGCAACACCGGGAACTGCTGCTGCTGCTGACGCTGCAGTCGCAGCGAATGGCCCCTTACGCGCTGCAGCGACGGAGCAGCAGCAGCAGCAGCAGCAACAGCAGCAGCAGCAGCAGCAGCAGCAGCAGCCGCAGCAACTGCAGCTGCAGCAGCAGTTGGAGTTCGCAAAAGCTGCTGTTGAGTTCGCAGGGCGGGCTGGAATGAGCAGCAACGCTTTTTCCTTTATAGAAAAGATGGTAAAGGTGAATTATTTATATATTTATTTATTTATTTATTTATTTATTTTTCATTTATTTGGTTAGTTAATTAAATAATTAAATGAGTAATCAGTTAATTAAATGATGAATTAACTAACTGGCTAATTAATCTATGGAAGTAATTAGCTAACCAGTTTAGGCAATAAGCTTGTTAATTGATGATTAGATTCTTGAATTAACAAATTCATAATACAATTAAGAACTAGTTAAACTAATTAATTAATTAATTGATTATTAATTAATTAATTAATTATTAATTAATAATTAGTCACTCCACTAATAGGCGCTTTAGGAAAGACTTCGAATAACACACAAGTACAGAATTCTTTCAAAATGGAGAATTCTCTAAATATGAGAATAAATAATTATCCATTTTAAAAAATAAGTTGAACACCAAATTAATCAATTAATTGTCTTCATTTTGGTCTAATTAAATCCCCAATTGGTTGAGTAATAATTGAAATATTTAAATTTAAAATTTCAGTTTTTGATTTTTAATTTGATTTTTAATTTTATTCTTTTGCCCCACAGGTTCTCGCCGCGCAGCGCGGCGGCGCATTCTTCGCGCTGGACTTTTTGGGATTTGTTTTGAAGAAGAATTTAATTGAAAACCATAAAGACATTTTGCGGGAAAAACGCGAAAAGTTCGAAATGTGGGGATTAAGAAAAGAAAATAAATCATTTAATTTATTAACTATTTAAAAAGAACTCATTTTAAAAAAGAATTAAAAGGAAATATTTTAAATTGGTCAAAATTTGCTAAAATGCACTTTGAAGTACATCGCTGAAAGCCAATTTCATTTAATATTTATTTATTAATTTACTTATTTTATTATTTATTTATTTATTTATTATTTGACTATTGTTTATTAATTACTTATTTTCATTCATTTACTTTTGTTTATTTTTATTTTTTAATTTATAATTTATTTGATATTTAAATATTTATTTGTTTATCATTTGATGTTTATTTATTTATTTGCCAATTCTTTGAGGAGTCGAGGTGCTGGATGACGCATTAATTCTCTTAAATTAATTAATTAATTATTTAGAAAATATAATTAACTAATTAAATAATAAACTAATTATATTATATTATCTAATTAAAAATTAACTAATTAATTAATTAATTATCTTTAATGAATTAATCAATTAATTATCCAATTAATTAACCAATTACTTAATTAACTATTTAAATAATAATTATTTATTTAATTATTTAATTAATTAACTGAAATGGCACAAATGGCAGACCCGAGTTTGCTGCTGCGGTGGCGTTGGGGCGTACGTACAGCTACTGCGAAATCCTCAAGTTGAAAGACTTAAAAAAAATAAATGAAGAAATGAAAAATAATAAAAAGACAATCAAAGAAATTGGATGGGGACAGCCCCTAGCTCGAATGGTCGAGTGAGAAAACCCTAAACCCTAAACCCTAAACCCTCGGGAGTGCGCGGGTCTGCAAGCATCCCCTGTAGCAGCTCTAAATAAAGCTGCAGAATGATAATTAATTTAACATTTATTTCATTATTTATTTATTAAATTATTTACTATTTATTTATTTATTTTATTATTTATTTATTTTTTTATTTTTGTTTCAGAGTTCTTGTTGAAGAAAAAAGATTTGAAGAGGCGAAAAAGATTGCGGAGAAAATGCAGCAAATGAAAGAAGAGAAATTTCTCCAGAGTTCTTTGCTGCTTCTTTTAAATCTTAATAAATATATAAATAAATAAATAAATAATAAAATGATATATTATTTGCATGCAAAAAGAGGAAAGAAGTCTTCAAATGCAGTTTCGAGTTGGCTGCTGCGAGGTGTACGTACACCTCAAAAGCTGAACTATTTCTTTTCTTTTGCTTTCAAACAAAAGAACAAAAAACTATTTTTTACAAATCCAAATTTATTTAAATAAAGCTCTCAGCTCGAGAAGCTCAACAAACAAATCCTGCAGCAGCAGCAGCAGCAGCGCAGCAGCAGCAGCGCAGCAGCAGCAGCGCAGCAGCAGCGCGCAGCTGCCGCAGCAGCCACAGCAGCAGCAGCAGCAGCAGCAGCAGCCACAGCAGCAGCAGCAGCAGCAGCAGGGCTAGAGGCCCTTGTCCTTCCGCTGCTTGAGCATTAGTTTGAGTCTGTTTATTTCTTTTTCTTGTGCTGCTAGCCTTTTGTTTTTTCTTTCGATTTCTGCTGCTGCTGTGGTGTACATACACCCCAAGTTCTGCAGCAGCACTTTCGTCAGCCCCTGCAGCTGCTGCGCATACACCCGAACTTCGCCTTCGGTCATTTTGTAAACATCAGCTACTGCTGCTGCTGCTGCTGCTGCTGCACTTCTTGCTGCGGGTGCTGCTGCTGCTGCACTTCTTGCTGCGGGTGCTGCTGCTGCTGCTGCAGTATCTGCTCCGCGTGCTGCTGCTGCGCCTGCTGCTGCACTTGCTGTTGCTGGTTCTGCTGCTGCATTGTCCACTTCAGGTGATGCTGCTGCATTGTCCACTGCAGGTGATGCTGCTGCAGCTGCTGCTGCGCTTGCTGCTGCACCTGCTGCACCCTCTGCTGTTGCTGCTGCACTTTCTGGTGCTCCTGCTGCTGTTGGTGTATCTACTGCAGCAGCAGCAGCAGCTGCTGCTGCTGCTGCATCATGGCTGCATTCTGCAGCCTCATGAAAAGCTCTTGCTGCTCCTCCCTGTGCTGCTGCTGCAGTTGCTTCCGCCGTTCTTGCTGCTGCTGCTGCAGCTGCTTCGTGTTTGCAGTTGGTGCTAATTTCAGGTCTGTTGCTGCTGCTGCTTCTCGTGCTGCTGCTGCTGCTGGATGAAATATCCCTGGGAGCTATTGTACTACAAGAAGCAGGGCTGTAGAGGAACTGCTGCTGTTGCTGCTGTTGCTGCTGCTGCCGCTGGTGCTGCTGCTGCTGGTGCTGCTGCCGGCGGTAGTGCTGCTGGTGCTGGTGGTGGCTGTGCAGCAGCTGCTGCTGCGGCTCGTAGGCGTAGTGGTAGTAGTGCTGCTGCTGCTGCTGCATGCACTGTGCCTGTGGGAAGCCCCAACTATGGCTGCTGCTGCTGCTGCTGCTGCTGCTGCTGTTGCTGCTGCACTTCCGCTTCAAGCGATGCCCTTCTCTGTGTCTATTTGTCTCTTTGTCTCTTTGCCGCTCCCTATCTCCATATCTGTCTCTCTCCCTGCTAATCATTGCGGCTAAAACCTGCTGCTGCTGCTGCTGCTGCTGCTTGTGTTGCTGCTGCTGCTGCTGGCGCTGCTGGGACCTGAAGCGCTGCTGGGAACTGAAGCTGCTGGTGCAGCTGTTGATGCTACTCCAGCAGCTGCTGCAGCCGCTGCTGCCACTACTGTAGTAAGCGCTGCAGCTGCTGTTACTCTTACTTCAGCAGCAGCAGCAGCAACAGCTGCTGCTGCTGCTATCGCTGCAGCAGCAGCTGTTGCTGCTGGCGCCGCCACTGTGCCTGTGGCTCCTGCTGCAGTTGATGCTGCTGCCGAGGCCGCTGCTGCTGCTGCTGCTTCCAGTGCCCCCGCAAGTGCACTTGCTGCTGCTGCTGCGGCTGCTGCTGCTGCAACAGCAGCAGCCGCATGGCTCTTCTTTGAAGGCGTGGGTCTGCGGGGCGGCGCAAGGAGCAGCAAATAACTGCGTTTTTTTAATTTTATGATTTAAAAATGATAAAAACAATTCAATTGTTTAATTCAAATCCATTTAATTCAAATCTGACGCCGCCAGAGTCCACCCCGACACCGTAGCACTCCCGCCAGGTGTCTGTACACCTCAGCTCAGAGCCCCCAAACGACCCACTTTCTCAAATCTTTTCACTTTCGTTTCTTTTCACTTTTAATTCAAATTCTATTCTTCAAAAAGAGCCTTCAATAGCAGCCTGGGGGCCCCCCGGGGGCCCCGGGGGGCCCCTGGGGGCCCCCAGAGGCCCATAGGGTACCAGGAAGAACCCCAGGCTCACTGCAGCAGCTGAAATTAAACAAATACACTTCGAATTTGTCTTTTTTAACTAAAAAATTAAAACTAATTAAAATAAATTAACCAAAATTATCTAAAATTTGCCAAATAACACTGCAGGTAAGATTTCTCCTGCTGCTGCCCCTTGCTGTGGCCCTCAAGCCACTGCAGCAGCAGCAGCAGCAGCAATTGTTACTGCCGCTACAGCTGCTACAGCCGCTGCTGCTGTTGCGACAACTGCTGCTGCTGCTACATTGTCGGCTTCTGCTGCTAGTAATGGCAGCAGCAGCAGCAGCAGCAGCAACTAGCCGACACACAGGGACTCCAAAGCATCGCTGAGTATCTGCAAGTGATGCTGCTGCTGCTGCACCTGCTGCTGCAACTGCAGCTGCAGCTGCTGTTGCTTCTGCTGCTGCTGCCGCCGTTGCTGCTGCTCCCTAAAGCCTCTATAAAGCTTCGACCTCGTAAGCTGCAGAGAGTCCTTGAACTGCTGCTGCTGCTGCTGCTGCTGCAGCAAACTTATCTGCTCATTAATTGTGGCTGCAAGGCGCCGCAGCAGCAGTCCCTTAAAACCCCAGCCTTCCGAAGGACTGCCTACAGGAGCTGCTGCTGCTGCTGCTGATTCTGCAGCAGCAGCAGCTGCTGCTGCTCCCAGTGCTGCAGCAGAAGCAAAGATAAGCCACACTGAGCATGAAAAGCAGCAGCAACAGATGCGCCAGCTACCAGAAAGCAAGCATCAGTGGCAGCTGCCCCAGCAGCTACTGCAGCAGCAACAGCAGCAGCAACGGTTGCAGCAGCAGCAACAGCAGCAGCATTATAAAATGGCAGAAAGCCTGACCGCTGCAAAAAAATGACACTACTGCTTCCTGCAGGAAAGGGCTTTGCTGCTGCTGCAGCTGCTGCACTTGCTGCTGCAGCTGCTGCTGATGGTGCTGCAGCAGCAGCTTGAGCCCAATGCAAAAGGCGCGAAGCGTCCAAAAGGAAGCATCTGCTGCTGCTGCTGCGGCTGCTGCTGCAGAAGCGGCAGCAGCAGCACTAAAGTCCTGCTGAGGAAGAGCAGCAGCAGCAGCAGCAGCAAAAACATCTGCTGCCAGCTCGTGTTGGACTCTCAAGGTCAGCATACACTCCAGGAGCTGTACGTACACCGCAACCACATGCAGCAATTCCTCTGCAGCAGCAGCAGCATCTCCCGTGGCAGCAGCAGCAGCGAAAATGTCCCAGAAGCAGCAGCTACAGCAAGAGCCAACTCAGTAGTAGCAGCAGAAACGGCAGCAACCGCAGCAGCAGCAGCAAATGCAGCAAAGTACCATTACGAGCTGCTGCAACGACAAACAGCCGCGGCGCTTCAGCAGCAGCGGCAAGGCCAAACCAACGGCCGCTGCTTGCTGCTGCTGCTGCTGCTGCTGAAGTTGCTCTTGCTGGGGCTCCTGCTGCTGCTGTTGGGTATGCTGCTGCTGGTGCCGCTGCAGCTGCTGCTGACGGACAGCTACGGCGGCCAAAAGCGCCAGTGCTGCTGCTGCTGCATCTGGAGCTGCAGCTTCGAGTTCGCAAGCCCTGCAGCAGCAGCAGCAGCAGCAGCAACAACAGCAGCAGCATCAGCAGCAAAGTCTATTGCTGCAAACCAGACAAATTTCATGGCATGCTGAGCTGTGCCAATCATGCGCAATGAAGCCCTAGGGTTTAGGGTCTAGGGTCTAAACTTTAGGAGTTAGGGTTTAGGGTATAGGGTTTAGGGTTTAACACCAAGGGTCTAAAGTTTGGGAGTAAGAGTTGAAGGGTTGGGGTTAAAGGCCTAGGGTTTAGGATTAGGGCGTAGGGTTTAAGGACTAGGGTTTAGAGCTTAACATTAAGGGTTTAGGGCTTAGGGTTTAGGGTTTAAGATCTAGGGTTTAACGTTTAGCGCCTACTTAGCAAACAAAGCTCCAAATAAAAAAGAAACTTCTTTTCTGTCTCTAGCAGCAAAAGACAAAACCCTCGAAAAGATATCTAAACTCATCGGGGGCCCCTCCAGGGGGGCCCCCCGGGGGGCCCCCAGGGGCCCCCCTGCCGGGGGGGCCCCCCGGGGGGCCCCTGGGGGCCCCCCTAGGGTTTCGGGGGCCCTCTCTGCCCAAGATTCAAGAGCAGCAAAAACGAACAGTAGCCTGCAGCAGCAGCAGCAGCAGCATGGGTACTGGGAAGAACAGCAGCAGCAGCAGCAGACTCACTAGACACAGCAGCGAAAACAGCAGCAGCAGTAGCAAAGCCAGCTGCAGCTGCGCCAGAAGGGGGATGTCTGCAGTGAGGCCACACGCTGTACTTTGGGCAGCAGATTCAGCAGCAGCAGAAGCAGCAGCAAGTAGCAGCAAGCAGCAGCAAGCAGCAGCAGCAGCAGCAACAGCAGCAGCAAGTACCTGCATGCGAGCTGCGGAGATAGCCGAGACACCACTGCATCTTGCTGCAGCAGCAAACCTCCTGAAAAGCACAAGACCCTCAGCAGCAGAAGCAGCGGTAAACCTGCTGCTGCTGCTGCTGCTGCTGTGCTGCTGCTGCTGCTGTCAGCGGGAGCCTGTGCTGCAGGCTCCTCCTGCAGGTGCTGCAGCAGCAGCAAATCGAGAGGAGATGGCAGGTGCTTCTGCAGCACTGCAGCAGCAAAGTCAGCAAGCCTCAGCAGCACGAAGGCTGGATCCAGCTGCTGCTGCTGCTGCAGTGCAAGATGCATGTAAACCCCGTCCAACAGAACAGCAACAAGGCTGTTTGACCGAATCTGCAGCAAAGGCAGCAGCAGCAGAAGCAGCAGCAGCACCGCAGGCACAAGCTGCAGCATCAACATACGCAGCAACAGCAGCAGCATTAGCAGCAGCAGCAGCTACTGTAGCGCCATCAGCAGTTGCTGCTGCAGCAATTCTTCATATTTAAGGGAAGAGGGCACTGCTGCCTGTGTGCAGCTGCAGCGCTGCAGCAGCGAGCCGCAGCTGTAGCGGAAGCTGCAGCAGCAGCAGCAGCAGCAGAAGCAGCAGCAGCAGCAGCTGCTGCTGCTGTGGGGTCACTGAGACGGACTTGGTAACTTCGTAGAAAAGGAAAGATAGCCAAAGTTTGCTGCAGCGAGAGACAGTTTGCTTCCTGCAGCAGCCGCTGCTGCAGCAGTGCAGCAGAGAGCCGCAGGTGCTCATGCAACGTGCTGCTGCTGCTGCTGCTGCTGAAGTGGCTGCTGCTGCTGCTGCTGGTAAACCATGGAACTTGTTCCAGCAGAGAGGAATGAATCCCTAACACTGAGGACGGCTCTGTTGCTGCTGCTGCTGCTTCAGTTGCCGCTGCTGCTGCTTCAGGCCCACAGGCAAGCGAGTCAACAAGCTGCAGCAGCAAGACGCATTCCTCTCTGCAGCAGCAGCAACAGCAGCAGCAACAGCAGCAGCAGCAACGTGAGTGGTGAGAGCAGGTGCAGCAAAGACAACTGCCGCAGCTGCTGTCGTGACGGGCGCAGCAGCAGGACAGCAGCCGCAGCAACAGCAGCAGCAGCAACCACAGCAGCAGCAGCAGCAGCATACGTTGAAAAGTACGCTAGCTTCTGCTGCATCTGCTGCAGCAGCAGCAGCAGAAATTCCGGAGACAAAGGATGCACCACTGCAGCAGCTGCTGCTGCTTTTAGGGCCCTCAGCAGCTGCTGCGGCTGCAGCTGGGCTGCTGCTGCTGATACCCGGCGCGTGGCACGGCGCAGCAAATAACCTGCAGCAGCAGCAGCAGCAGCAGCAGCAGCAGCCAGAGCCATGAAAAGGTGAAGCACGGGACAGAAATAGCTAGGAGAGGTGTTCGGGAGCAGCAGCAGCAGCAGCAGCAGCAACCACAGCTGCAGCAGCAGCCGCTACAACTGCGAAAACAGCGGTGGAGGCGGTGAAGCAGCAGCAACAGCGACAGCAGCAGCAACAGCAACAGCAGTCAGAGCAGCAGCAGCAGCAGCAACAGCAGCAAACCTGATGTGGGGCTCATGGCGCCGCAATCTGCTGCTGCTGCCTCCAGCAGCAGCAGCTCTTCCTCCCCGGCGTAAATATCTTTCCCGCGGCTGCTGCGCAGCAGCAGCACTTCTTCAGATGCAGCAGCAGCAGCATGTCCTGCTCCTGCTGCTGTTGCTTCTGTTGCTGCTGCCGCTGTTGCTGCGGCTGCTGCTCTAGGCTTTGGCGCACTGAACACAGCAACTTCACCCGCAGCTGCGGCAGCTGCAGCAGCAGCAGCAGCTGCTGCTGCTGCTGTTCCAGTGCCAGACGCAGCAGCAACAGCTGAGTCAGTAGGAGTCACCGCAGCAGCTTCAGCAGCAGCAGCAGCAGCAGCAGTAGCAGCAGCAGCAGGCTGCTCCTGTGTCCCGCCGCTTTGTTGCAGACCTCCTGTCTGTCCACTGCAGCTGCTGCTGCATCTAGAGAGACCAATATCGCGCTGGTCCTGCTGCTGCTGCTGCTCTTGCTGCTCTTGCTGTTCGTGCTGCAGCAGCAGCTGCTGCTTGTCCTCGGTGGACAAATAACAAAAGACTGGTAGAGAAGCAGACGCAGGGCCTTCCGGCTGCAGCAGTTGCTGCTGCTGCTGCTGCTGCTGTGGCGGTGGCGGTGGCGAGGAAGCCAGTTGCTTCAGTTGCTGCTGCAGCTGCTGTTCCTGCTGCTCTTCCTTCAGCTGCTGCTGCTGCTGCTGCTGTGTATTCCTTACAGATGTCTCCGCTGCTGCCGACTGAGTCGTGAAGAGCTGCAGCCGCTGCAGATGTAGCTGTTGCTGCTGCTGCTGCTGCGCAAGCAGCAGCGCGGAGTGCCTGCTGCATCTGCAGGGAAGCGTCCGCAGCGTCCGCAGCAAATGAGGCCCGAACATGCTGCTGCTGCTGCTGCTGCTGCTCCCTGGACGCGCCTTCGCAGCTCTTTCTGCTGTTGCAGCGCAGCAGCTGCTGCAGCTGCAGCAGCAGCAAACTGAAATCCTGTCTGCTGCTCTGATGCAGCAGCGAGGCAACTTTACAGCCTCGATTGTGAGGCTCTCCGGGGCGACAGCAGCAGGTGCAACAGCAGCAGCAGCGGCAGCAGCAGCAGCGGTTGTGCTTTCGTTATTGTTGTTGTTGCTGCTGCTGCAGCGACTTTGTGTTCCGGGTCGGCATGCTGCTGTTGTTGCTTTGGGTTCCGCTGCAGCAGCTGCTGCTGCTGCAGCCGCTGCTGCAGCTGCTATTGCTGCTGCCAGGGTAGTTACAGTTGCTGCAGCAGCAGCAAAATTAATCGGGTCTCGAAGCTGCTGCTTAGCAGCAGATGAGAATCGATTGGGCCCCTTTAGATGTCTCTAGGGGGCCCCTACAGGGTCCTTGGGGGGCCCCTAGGGAGCCCCAGTGTCGGCAGCGGCATTCTTGCTGCTGCTCGGGTTGCCGCTGCGCTGCTGCTGATGCGAGCGCAGCAGCAGCTCTTACTGCGCTAGAACTAAGATTTTTCTTTTTACTTTTCTAGTATAATTATTCAACAAAGCTGCTGCAGATTGACATAGAAATTACAGCAGCAGCAGCAGCAGCAGCAGTGCCGATCAGCTGCTGACAGCAGGAGAACAGCAGCAGAAGCAGCAGCAGCAGCAGCAGCCCTTCCCTCACCTAATACAGCCAGAAACTTCAGTATAATATGCAACCTCCGCCTTGTGCTGTCAAGCATAAAAGGATAAGCAACAACAACAGCAGCAGGAACAGCAGAAACGGCAGTAGCAGCAGCAGCAGCAGCAGCAGCAGCAGGAGCGACCCGCCTTTGACACTGGTATGAGCCGCAGCTAGCCCGACAGCAGCACCAAAGCCTGCAGCAGCAGTGCAGCAGCAACTAGAGATATACACTGAGTTTATCCGCTGCAGCTGCAACACCAGAAGCAGCAGCAGGAGCAGCAGGAGCCGAGCGGGCGCTTGCGCAGCAGCAGCAGCAGCAGCAGCAGCAGCAGCCCTTAGAAGGTCCAGATTTCTGAGAGAACGCAGGAACTGCACAAAGACAGGCAGCAGCCGCTACTAACCTGCAGCAGCAGCAGCAGCAGCAGCATGTTGACCCCAGCAGCAATTGCAGCAACAGCATGTTGACTGCAGCAGCAGCAGCAGCAGCCGCAGCAGCAGCATGTTGAGGAGCGTTGGCCACTTCGAGTTCGAGGAGGCGCTCCCGCTGTCGCTGCTGCAGCGCTGCGGCAGCAGACCACCCAGCCCGCGCACCGAAGCAGCAGCAGCAGCAGCAGCTACTGCTGCTCCTGCTGCTGCAGCAGAAAATGAATGGCAGCGAGACCTCGGAAGCAGCAGCAGCAGCAAAAGCCCTGCCGATGCTGTTGCAGCTTCTTGTGTTGCAGTGGCGGAGGGTCTCGTGGCTGTGGGCAGCAACGAGGGGGTAGTTCTGCTGCTGAGGTAAGGTGCTGCTGCTGCTGCTGCTACTACTACTGCTGCTGCTGCTGCTGTAAGTCATGCTGTTGTTATTCTCGCCTTTACTGCTGCTCCCGCTGCGGAGCTGCTGACCTAGCCGCTGACGGTGTTGCTGCTTCTCTTGCTGCAATGGATTTTGCTGCTGCTGCTGCTGCTGCTGTTGCAGGCGCTGCTATCCCATGCATCCGGTACAGCCCGTTGCTCGTTTGCTGCTTCCACTGGACCCTGCTGCTGCTGCTGCTGCTGCGGGTCCTGCTGCTGCGGGTCCTGCAGCAGCTGTTGCTGCTCCGGAGGGGCAAGAGCAACAGCAGAAGGCGCGGCAGCAAGAAGCTCTGCAGCAGCAGCAGCGGCAGCGGCAGCCGCCGCAGATTAATGGTCTCCAACAGAGCCCGATGTTTAGTGCAGCAGCAGCAGGTCCTGCTGCTGTTGCTGCTGCTGCTGACGCTGTAGCTGCATCACCTGCAGCTACTTCAGCAGCAGCATCTGGTGCTGCTGCTCCGGCTGCTGCTGCTGCTGGCATAACTTGCTTGCGCTTTGTTGCAGCAGCAGCAGCAGCAGCAGCGGGAAGCAGCGAGACGGGAAGGCCGGTGCTGCTGCTGATTGGAGACGCAGCAGGACGCCTGTTTTATTTTGCTGCTGTTCTTTTTTCTGCCTTCGACAGCAGCAGCGATATAGTGCAGCAGCAGCAGCAGCAGCAAATTGCTTGCTGCTGCTCCAGAGGTAGACGCAGCAGCAGCAGCAGCAACTACAGCAGCAGCAGTCTCATGACCTTCAGCAGCAGCAGAGATTTCGTGCTCATCAACAGCAACATCCAGAAGCCAGCAGCAGCAACAGCAGCAGAAGCAGCCACAGCAGCCACAGCAACAGCAGCAGCAACTGAAGCAGCAGAAGCAGAAGCAGCAGCAGATCCAGCAGCACCTATCAGCTGCATTGCTGCGTGGGAGGATACTGAGTCTATTGCTGCTCCGCCTGCAGCAGCAAGAGCAGCAGTTGCAGCAGCAGCAGCAGCAGCAGCAGCAGAGTTTTGTGTCTTCTACGGCGACGTAAAGGGCTGCCTCTGGCGCAGCCGCTTGCTGCTGCACAGAACCACAACACCCCCAGGCAGCAGCAGCAGCAGCAGCAGCAGCAGAGGGCGCGAGCTGCCACTTTGGTGGCTACTGCGGAGGCAGGAGCTCCCGCAGTGCCTTCTGCGCAGCAGCAGCAGCAGCAGCAGCGTCTGCAGCATTGTGGGGCCTTTGCATGCACTGGATCTCGCGTGGGAGGGCCGCCGCGTGTTGCTGCTCATTTCGGCAGCAAACCGCAACTTTGTGCTGCCGGATGCAGCAGCAAGAAGGTTTCCTGCTGCTGCTGCTGCTGCTGGTGTTGCTGCTGCTGGTAATGCTGCTGCTGATGGGATTGCTGCTGCTGCAGTGCATGCAATTGGCAGCAAACCGCACGTCGGGCCCCACATGGCTGTCTCTGCGCCCATGCCCCATGCCCTCCTGCAGCAGCAGCTTCAGCAGCAGCAGCAGCAGCAGCAGCAGCAGATGGCTGTATTTTCAGCACGCCCAGGGGGAAGGCTGTGGGTAGCAGACACTCAGGGAAGAGTCCTTGCGACTTTGCGGCTGCAGCAAGCTGCTGCCAGCAGCAGCAACAGCAGCAGCAGCAGCAAAGAAACCACAGCAGCAGCAGCAGCAGCAACAGCAGCAGCAGCAGCAGGGCAGCAGAAGTGCTCTATAGGGGGCCGCCTGGCTTTCATTGCCCCTCACCTTCTGCTCTGCTGGAGCCAGAAAGAGGACAACGCAGCAGCAGCAACAGCAGCAGCAGCAGCAACAACAGCAACAGCAGCAGCAGCAGCAGCAGCAGTGCAGCTTGTTGATGTTAACAGCAGCTCTGTGCTGCAGCAGTGGCAGATAGAAGCTTCTCCTGTTGATGCTGCCTGCGACCGCAGGCTGTCTCACTGTCTGCTGCTGCTGCAGAGCAGCAGCAGCAGCAACAGCAGCAGCAGCAACAACAGCAGCGGCGAAGGTGTTTTCTGGTTAAAGAACTTCTGGTTTGCTGCAACTCCTCTCAAGATTGCAAAAGCACTTGTACCTGCAGTTGCAGCAGCAGCAGCAGCAGCAGCACCGCAGCCGCGAGAGCGAGTGGAGGCTGCTGCCATTGACAGCAGCAGCAGCAGCAGCAGCGGAGGTGAAAACGTTATTCCTTGTTGCAGGTGCAGCAGCAGCTGTGTGAGCAGCAGTATGCGGCGCTGCTGGTTTGCAGCTGCTGCTGCTGCCTGCATGCAATACGTTGTCAGCGACGCTGCCGCAGCAGACTGGGGGTTGCAGGAGCTGCTGCTGCTGCAGCAACAATCGCAGCAGCAGATGGCTTTCCGAGCAGCAGCAGCTGCTGCAGAACAGCAGAGTGCAGCAGCTCTCTCCTTTTTGCTGCCGCTGACGCGCATAGTCCGGCTGCTGCAGCTGCACGCTTCTGCCCACACAGCAGCAGCAGCAGCAGCAGCAGCAGCAGCAGCGTGCAGCTACAGCAGCAGCAGCTGGCTGCAGCTGATGCAGCAATACCAGCAACGTATTAGCCTCTGGGAATGGGCTGCCTGCAGCAGCGGCGTTCCTGCTGCTGTTTCTGCGAAGCATTTCCCGAGGGCATTTGCTGCTGCTGCAGTTCGCATTAACGCAACAGCAGCAGCAGCAGCAACAGCAGCAGCAACAGCAACAGCAGCAACGGCTGCGCCGCCATCTCCCGCCACGTCTGCAAGCACGTTAGATAGGGGGTCTTCAGAAGCAAGAACAGCAGCAGCAGCTTCATAGAGGATATTCTCTCCTCTGCAGATGCATGCACGTTTGCTCGAGCTGCTCGTTCGTGCGTGGAGCTGTGGTTGCTGCAGCAGCAGCAGCAAGGGCAGCAGCAAGGGCAGCAACAGCAACGGCAGCAACAGAAGCAGCAGCAGCAGCAGCTGTTGCATCTTGTAGCAGCACTTCAGCAGCTGCTGCAGCAACGGTGGAGCCTTCCTGCTTCT